GAAACTTTCCCTCATCAGCATGGTTTCTCTGAGACAGTTTGCATTATAGGATAATCAAGAAAAAAATGCCAGCCGCTTTTTCTTGTTCTTTTTAGCATTTTCAAATAGTAAATGAGATCTCCAGTATGTTCCAGAAGTGACCAGTGAAGGCTGTTTTGGCTTGCTTTTGTTTTCGTATCATTATAACTCATGTATTTAACATTTTGAAGTGTTTGATCCATTGTCTCTCTCTCTTTTTTTTTTTTTTTTTTTTTTGCAGTACTGGGGCTTGAACTCAGGGCCTTCAGCCACTCTACCAGTCCTTTTTTGTGAAAGTTTTTTGAGTAGGGTCTCACGGAACTATTTGCCTGGGCTGGCTTCAAACTGCGATCCTACTGATCTCTGATTCCTGAGTAGCTCGGATTACAGGCATGAGCCACTGGTGCCGAGCCATGTCATTATTACTTATCCTTTGATACCCTTCGTTTCCCCTTAACTAGCATCTCTTCTGATATGACAAGATTATTTCAGGCTCATGCATTTCCTACCAATGTCTGGAAACTGGCCAACCTCCAAGGAGCCTCATTCTTTTTGTGGAAGGTAGAATCTGGTTACTTAGGGTGTTCATTGCTACTGAGTTGTCCTTGTTTTGGGCCTTTTAATAAATAGAGCTAAGACAGGCACTGGTGCCTCATGTCCTGTAATCCTAGCTACTTGGGAGGCTGAGATTGGGAGGTTTGAGATTGGATGTCAGCTCGGGCAAAACATTCCGAGACCCTATCTCCAACATAACCAAAAGCAACACGGTGTGGCTCGACATGCAGATTCCTGCTTTGCAGGTGAGAAGCCTGAGTTCAAATCCCCAATCCCCCCAAAAATAAATAATAAATAAGCAGAGCTAAACAGGAAAGACCTTTTATTTTTCTTAAGATAAAAATTATCATGAGTTCCTAATACTATTCCAATTCAATTTCGAATGAAAGGTTTTTTTGTTTTTTTTGGCAGCACTGGGGTTTGAACTCAGGGCCCACACTTGCTCAGCAGACACTCTATTGCTTGAGCATTCCACAGGCCCTGAAAGAGTTCTGATTTTACCCTCACCTATCTTGTACCTGCTTCTCTTTTCTGCAGTGCCAAACCCCTAACTTATAATACTCCTTAATTCCTCTTTGCATTATCCCACAGTACACATGAAACTGCATTGAATAACAGCACTGACATTAACATTGTCAATATGCTAACCAAATAACAAAAAACATTTCATGAACTTTTGTCCTTAGACTATATCTCACTCACTTCGAATGTATAAGTAAGTGACTGTGTTATGAAGACATTTAAGAGTTGCACACTGTGCTCATGTCACCAATTAGATGTATAATATATTGTTCTGCTTCCAGTTTTCTTTTCTTTTCTTTTTGTGGACTGGAGTTTGAACTCAGGGCCTCCACTTTAACCCCTTCCACCAGGCCTTTTTTGTGGTGGATTTTTTCCAGAGGGGAGTCTCATGAAATATTTGCCCAGGGCTGGCTTTGATCCACAATCCTCCTGATCTCTGCCCTCTGAGTAACTAGGATCACAGGCATGAGCTCTAGTTTTGTTTTGATTTTTCAATTTAATATTTGTATAATTGTGTAAAAAAAATGTACCTGCTTACAAAGTGAGATCTATAAGAAAAAGTCTCACCACAAAAATCTAGTTTCTATTTCTATTTCTGATCCATACATACTGTTGCTTCCATCATAGGTAATCTGCTTTTTACATTCTGGGTTTAAAATAAAAGCAAAAATGTGTTTATATTCACGTCGCCCCAATTTTGTTAGATGATAGCATGCCATAAACACTTTCTCTGCTTTGCTTTTTTCACTGAACAACCTATCTTGGAGATCATTATATACAACTATGTAGAGATGATCTTTATTCCTTTCTAGAGCTATATAATGTTTCATGGTGTGAATGTACCAAGGTTTCTTCAACCAGCCCCTTATTAAGGAATATTTGAGTTTACAGTCTTTGTTATCATAAACAGGATAGTATCCAACAGCCTTATGTGCACATCTTTTGTTTTATTTTTTGTGTATTTGCTAGTAGTTCACAGGAAGTAGGATTTCTGGGCCAAAAGGTAAACTTGTATGTAATTTTGCTAGACCTAACCCAATTCCCCTTACAGGGCTTATTTTGCTGAATCTGTATCTTCACACAACCTGCCTGAATATGTTGTCATGCTTTTGGGTTATTGCCAATCAAACAGATGAGAGATAGCATAGATGTGGTTGTAATCTGCATTTCTCTTATTATGAGTAAATTTGAGCATTTTTAGTAGTTTTAAGGGTCCTATGCATAATTTTTTGTGAAATTTCCTCCAATTTTCTAGATAGTTGTCTAATCTTTTTCTTCTCTCTCTCACTGTTTTTTGTTTGTTTTTGTTTGTTTTAGTTCTTGCATACATTTAGGATATTGAACTTTTGTAATGTTGTAAGGTACAAATGTTACCAAGTTTTCACCTGTCCCTTTATTATTATTATTATTATTATTATTGAAAAGCTTCTTTATTTTTATATAGGAAAATGTATCAACCATCTCCCTTATGGCACTGGATTTGGAGTAATAATTAGGAGTTTCCCACATTTCCAGGCTATAAGAGAAATTTACTCACATTTTTATCTGGTATTTGTAAACGTTTTTTAAATAGGTGAATTTTTAATACATTTGGAATTTATCAGTATGTATGGTGGAAGCTATTGAACACTGTTTCTTTTTTAAAATCATCTAGGGGTAGGGGTGTACCTCAGTGGTAGACACTTGCCTAGCATGCATGAGGCCCTGAGTTCAATCACCAGTACCATGAAAGAGGAAGAGAAAGGAAGTAAGAGAAGAGAAAGGAAAAAAAGAAAAAAATTCTCTTTCATATGGATTTGAGATGCTGCCTTGATTGCATGTTAACAAATGCAACTGTGTCACTATCTGAATTTTCTATTTTTTTCCATTGATCTATCTATTCAAATATCAATACTATTCTGCTTTGATTATAGAGGATTAACTATATGTTTATATAGTACTGGGATTTGAATTCAGGGTCTCCTCCTTGCTAGGCAGGCCCTCATTACTTGAGCCACACCAGCCTGGCTTGTTTTTTTTTTTTTTTTTGCTTTAATTATTTTCAAATAGGGGTTCCTGTTTCTTTGCCTGGGGTTGGCCTCAGACCACCCTCCTAGCATAGCTGGGGCCACAGGTGTGCACCACCCATGCCCAGCTTTTTTAGTTGAGATGGGGTCTTCTATTCACCAGGGCTGAACTTCAACCATAATCCTCCCAGTCTCTGCCTCCTGAATAGCTGGGATTACAGCTATAAACCACCACACCCAATCTATAATAATGTTCTAATGTAAGAGGTGATTAAATTGCTCTTGCTAAAAAAGCATGGACTCCTTACTCAGGCCCATGAATTAACTAAAAGTGGGAGAAAAGCATGACATCTCTCCTTCATTTTGTATCTGTCTTTGCTCAGAGCCATTCTCTCTGGAGTCACCTTGCAATCACTTTGGATTCCAGGAAAGACAGATGATAACATCTTCATGACAAGGGACAGAAATTCCCCCTAACAATAAAAGTTCCTCAGGATGGACCACCTGCCAGTTTGACAAGGAATCCAGGATAACAACTCACTGAACCTCTCCCAAAACAAGAACCAGATAAAGACCACTAGAGCACACCTGTGACTGAAATTGTTTAATTATGCATATCTTACCTCTCTCCCCTTCCTAGCTCTTGGTCTACTTAAACCTATAGTTCATGTCTGTACCCAAAGATGGCTGTCTCAGCATGTCCCAAAGCTGTGTAATAAGCCTCTTTTCTTTGCCTTCACTGTTTGGCATTTAGGAGGAGCCGAACCTGGCATATGGAATCTCAGGAGTTTGGCCCTAGCGTCCAAAACTACAGTCTCATCAATATCTGAAAACTTCTCTCAGTCCCACACTCATTGCTCTTTTTCATCTTTCATAGTTTGAACTTATTAATTCTGCCATTTCTTATACATTTATCCTTCTTTGCTTCTCTCTTTTGACATATTTAAAAATTTATCTAGATTTTAACTTTGTTTTTGTTTTTATTTATATATTTCATAATACAAAATTTCCACTGTATCTTACAAAATCTGCAGTTTCACCCAGAATTTCCTGTTTGAAAACCCGAGTTATTTGTTTGAATGTTTTTACACTTATTTCTAGGTAGAAAAAAAAAAAAACTTTTAACATTTTAAAATTTTATTATTAGTTTCCAATAATAAAAGACACAATGTTATTGTGGATTTAAAAAATCATATTTCTGTTTTTTAGAAATTTTCTGTGCCTTAAGATACAACTTTTTTGGGGGGCGGAGGAGACGCGGGTGTGAAGTCAGGGCTTCACGCTTACAAAGCAGGCGCTCTACTACTTGAGCCACTTCTACAAGGCACAGTTTTCATGAAAGAGGGCCTGCAAGGCTAAGCAAGACCCACAACTATACCAGGCCCCCAGCCTCACACTCTGTAAATGTGATCATGTAAGGAAAATGGGATTAAGAATGAAGTTTTCCAACTGATCATTACATCACAATTAAAATCCCCATGAATTACACTACTGGCTAAAAACTCCTAATGGGTTGCGATCTCTTTACAAGTCAATCTGTTCGAATTCACAGAACCCAGATTCCTGAGCCAAGCCAAGGTAAATTTCGGTTCTTGTTATATATATAATCTCAGCCTGCCTAATAAGTTAACCTGCACACAGGGCAACCTCCGACCGCTAAGAAGCTTGCAGTCAGACTACTGCAGCACCTAAGTCTCATTCTGCGGTTCACTCCGCCAACAGATAGATAGATCCCCACGAGCTCCAAACAAAACTTGCCATCACCGCTCTACCTGTCCCACATCCCTACTCAGGCCCCGCCCTCCTTTAGCCCCTCCTCTTGCGCGCAGGCGCGCCCTCTCACGCTTCCTCTCCGTCCAGCCAATCACCGGCGACGCTCGCGGGGGTTGGGCTGCTCCCTCCACCAATGCGTGAGGCTCTTGCTAGCCCGAGGCCGCCCCTGCCCGGAGCTGAGACCGGAAGATGGCGTCGGCCGCGGAGTTGAAGCTGCTGGAGAAGTCCCTGGGGCTGAGCAAGGGGAATAAGTATAGCGCTCAGGGCGAGCGACAGGTGAGACGCAGGGGCGGCACGAAGGGGAAATAGGAGACTGGAGCGGGGCGGGCGGAGCCTGGGCAGGGCTGGGGCGGGCCTGCGGGACTGTGGCTTCCCGGTTTCCCACGTGTCTGCGCAGTGGGGCTGGCTGGTACCTCGGCCGTGGTTCCTGCCGCCCTGGCTCCTGGAGGGGGAAGGAGCTTAGTCGGGTCCGGATCGACCTGAGCATTCCCTAGAGAGATCGTCAGCATCCCAGTCAGTAGCGGGAGGACACGCGGAGACCCCTTAGAGCAACCCAAAGGCCCCGCGTTTTCGTTCAGCGACTGCAGTTCCCACAATTGCTCATTCCCTTCAGTGGTCACCCAGTGACTCCCTGAGCGCTAACCCCGGCCGGGGAGCACTGTGCTGGCCTGGGGTGGCATAGGGGACCCGCCCCCTCCCCTTTGAAAGCTTGCACTTTGGCTGGGTGGAGCAAAGCGGCCGTTAGGCTTACATTGCCATAGTAAAAAGTGCTGCTTTGAAGGGTGGGTGGCTGAGAGAACACGTACTGGAGGGTTCAGGAAAGAATTTCCTGAGGTCTTGGGATACCAGGTCTGGTGTGCAGTGTGTAGAGAATGAGGGAAAGTTACATGGAGTGAAATTGGCGAGGTATAAGGGAGGTTTCCCAGGGCGTTGAAGAACGTTTGTGTTTCATGAAGTTCGTCGACCGCCGTGGAGAATACATATTGGGAGGAAGAAAATGGTTGTAGAAAGTGTACTTTCAATGTAGGAAGTGCACTTTCAATGTAGGTTTGGTTTTGGGTTTTTTGCCCCTATTTTAGGTTTGTTTGTTTGTTTGTTTCAAAATGGTTTGGTTTTTGGGGGGCTTAATTTTTTCTTCTTTGGTCATGTTAAAATTTGGTCCGAAAGTAGCAGTATTGTAGGTTTTACACATAAATTAACATGAAGCCTGGAAAGGCACTTGCCTAAGATCTGCCCTCTGATTGGTGGTAGAGTAGTAGAGGCCTGCTTGTGCTTTTCCCGTCCTCGTATTGTTTCCTTCTCATCAGACCCAAATTCCGGTTTGGTTTACTTTTCTAGGGAACATTGCCAAGATACGAGTCTTGCCTTCTGGGTGTTTATTATCTAGGAGGAGAAACAGCAATTTAAAGCCCAACAGGGTATTCAGTAGTAGAGGACCACAGTGAGGAGTGTGGAAAAGGAAGTTAATTCTGACATAAAAATGGGTTTATAAGCTTCACAGGAAAGCTAGTGTTTAAGGGATTAGACCTTGGAAGTTTGGAAGATTGGGAAGTTTGGGCCAATAAGTAAACCAGTGTGAGGAGTGGTGCAATGCAAGGTTAACCCAAAGTTATAGTTTGAGGCTCAATTGAGGGTTTTGGAGTTCAGAGTGTGGTTTTTGGGGTTTTTTTTTATTTATTTAATTTAAACATTTTAGTGATGGGCAGTTGTTGAATGTTCCTGTTTATGTGTATGGGGAAAAGGATAGAGATCTGAAATGATTTAGCCATTTCTTGGGGAGTTGGCTGACAGTGATAAACCAGTAATAAGGCATTTTCTGCAACATTATCAATAATAATTAAAAATCGAAAAAAGTCCAGAGGTCCAGTACTAAGAGAATGTTTCATTGCATTATGGCATCAACACACTAGAATATTACTTATGCAATCATTAAAAGTGATAACTTTTTGCAGTCCTCCGCAGCCCGTTAAGCCGACCAGCTAGCTTCCTTTACTCATGGGGAACTGGTGTGTAGTGGCTGCAAACAGTAACCTACTTGGTAATGTATACAGCTTGTTGCTTCTGTGGGTTATCCTAAGGGACCTTGGAGACAGGTTTCCAGTGTGTTCCTGTCTCTGATCTCACACTGTCCCCAATCTGGGCCCCAGGCAGGTATGCAGAGTGCCTTTGGGAAGCTCCAGGACACAGTTGACCAGGTAATCATGTCTTTCTGCACCTAGCTGCAGAATAAGGAACACAGGCCAAGTTTTAAGTTCCCTGGCCAGCAGAAGATCCATATCTCAAAGAAGTGGGGTTTTACCAAGTTTTGTGCAGATGAATTTGAAGACATGATAGCTGAGAAGAAGCACAGCCCGGATGGCTGTGGGTTAAAGTACAGCCCTAATTGTGGTCCCATGGACAAATGATGGGACCCTGCACTCTTGAGGGCTTCCCACTGTGCTGTCTCTTTCTTAATCACTTTAATCATGCTCAAAAATAAGTCATCCTGTCTACCTTAATGTGTCTAATCCCAGCTACTCAGGAGGCAAGAGTATTTTGAGTTCAAGGCCAGCCCAGACTTAGTGAGACCCTATCTCAAAAACAAAAGGGCTGGGGACATAAGTCAGGTGGTAGAGTCCTTGCCGAGCAAACTTAAGGCCCTGGGTTCAATTCCCAATATGACAGGGAAAAAAAAGTGATTACTTTGAAGAACATTAGACCCCCAGGATTGAAGTGAAAATAGTATGTGTCCCATGATTACAACTGCATAAGAATTGTAAACTTTAGGATTCATATTCTGTTCATGCCTTGACGCTGGAATAAACCTGGTAACCTTGGTCCTTCATTTGTAAAATGAGGAAGAGATTTCCTGCCTTATCTTAGAAGCCCTAATGACTAGATGAGAGGGTAACTTGAAATTTTCCAGTGAGCATGGTAGACTTGTGGCTAATTGTTTTTACAAATGATTTGTTTTTTTAGAGTTGTCTCTCACATATTCAGTTGTGAATTATTTTTATATTGACATACATTCAGAAAAGTACACTAATCTTAATGAGCTAGTACAAAAGTTCTGTTCTTTGATTAGAACATTACCAGCACCTCCGGAAACTTCTATATCATTTTCTTTCAATGCATGTTGACAATTTTAGAGACAGGGCCTTACTTGAGTAGGATGGCAAAAGTGAGAATTCAAGGAGCTGGAAAGTACCTTTAGTTACCCTCTTTACTTTTTAGGAGGTAATCTTGAGTCTGAAATGTTAATCTTCCTATTTACTTCACATATCCTATGATATAGATGTGAGTATAGAAGTGCTTTTCGAAGTTGAAATCTGTAACAGTACAAGGTACTGTTTTGTGGCTGAAAAGAGCAGCAGTCTTTTCAAGAAAATAGTCTTTTTTTGTTGTTGTTGTTTTGTTTTTACATTTGCTTAGGTCATTTAGATTGTATAGCTGCGCTGGGAGCCTGTGGGTCACGCCTGTAATCCTAGCTACTCAGGAGGCAGAAATAAGCCCCAGGAAAATAGTTCTTAAGACTCTATCTTGAAAAAACCCATCACACAAAAAAGGGCTGGTGGGGTGGCTCAAGTGGCAAGATTGCCTGCCTAGCAAGCGTGAGGCTTTGAGTTCAAATCCCAGTGTTGCCAAAAAAATTCAAATTCTAAAAAGGTGGGGGGCTTTGGGGCATAGCTCAAGTGATAGAGTGCTTCTGAGGCCCAGAGTTCATTCCTCAGTACTGCCAAAAAAAAGTGGTAGATTGTATAGTTGTTATTCATCTTTGTAAGTTACTTCAAAGCTGACCCTTCACATCGCTATTACAATACAGAAAATAAAAAGTTAGATTTATTTGAGTACATTTACTTTCTAAAATAGAGTGTAGGTCATTCTCATTCTCAATGCATTCAGTCTATTGACAGCGTATTCCTTTTCTAATACACTTTTATCACTTTTGCTACTATAATAAATAAAATAGTATATGTAATCTTTTTTAAAACTTTGTTATTATATTTATTATATTATCATTTCCCAGTTATAAAGCCACACTTACAAAGATTGATTTTTAAGTTTGAAATTGAAAGTAGACAATAGGCAAAATATTCCTGTGGGAAATAAGGATATATAAAACATGAAAATGTTCTCCATTCTCATGGAATTTATATCATCCAGGAAAGAAAAATATCTATGCCCTTTGCCCCATCTAAGAATTCCAAGATTGGTAAAAGTCTGTGAGGAAATGGTAGCACCTCCTGAGTGTGTGTTACTTTCTCACATGGAAGAATTATAACTAAGTGTTCTCACAGTACGGCTCCTTGCGGTTTTGAGTGACCTGACTAGGTCTGGCCAGCAAGTTGTGTGCAGAAGTAACACACATCACTTCCACATTTGGTGGCTGGTGCACATATCTCTAAGGCCCTGTGATCTGCTATGATGATTGTGCAGCCTTCATGAACTAGTTATCGCAAGAGGGAAGAAGCCAGACTTGACTGGGCAAATTCTGCAAACCTTAGAAGCCTTTACTTAAGTAAGAGAAAAAGTGTTACTGGTCAGGGAGTATGGCTCAGAAGAAACTTATTGTAGTAAGCCACTAAGATTTTAGATTCTGGAAATACTATATGGTCTAGCTTGTCTAGGTAAGCATTATTCAACTTATAGGTGTGGGTAGTAGGTAATCTTTCTGTTTATGAGATATGGTCTCACTGGGTTAGCCTTCAATTCACCATCTTCCTGCCTCAGCCTCCTGAGGGCTAGGATAACGGTGCTAGAATTACAGGTGTATACCACCATGCCCAGCTCAGTGTGAGTAATCTTGATTGGGTAATACAATATTATTAGGATTTCCATTTTCTTATATGGTACATACATAGTTATAAATCACGTGGTAATGTGACACTGATTTTTTGCAATATTACCAGTTGCATCATCAAGCATCTGTTGTCAAATTGTAAATTATATAGCTGCATTTCCTGACTTTCATTTGTCAGTAATTTAGTATCTTAATAAAAACCTACAATATTTCAAAAACAGTTGAGCTTTGAACCTACTGTTATGAAAGTCTATTTTTCATAGACTTTCATAGTTGGATTGTGTGTTGCGTGATTTAATTTACAAGATACTCAGATGGCACATTAATAAATTGAATGTATATAATAAAGGATTAAAATGCGAGGTTTAAGGGTGGGTAGATGTGTAAAAGTTTGTTGGTAGAACATGTTTCTTGTTTTTGGGGTTTGGCAAGAGTTAGTCATGTGGGGGGGGTGGGGGGTTGCCCATAGATACGTGTATATGTGTATACTTGTATACGTGTATGCGTATGTGTGTGTTGTTTTTCCTTTATGTCCATCAAGCATGGAGTTCTAGCATACCTTGATTTTTATTATATGGGTTAAGAATATTGATTTAAAAGTCCAGCTACAATTGAATTGACTGAGACCATGCCTTGACGGCTATGCTGAGTCACAGCATCCTAAAATTTAAAAAATACCAAATGTATGACAGAACAGTTATGTTGATCATGGGCCAGTCTAGTCATTAGTCCATCGAGATGTCTTATTTAAGGGGAACGTGTGGGCGATCTTAATTGCCATGGCCCTGAAGTAAGAACCAGATGCCAGGTATAGTTTCACTATAGAAACCCCCAAGTTTAATGGGCCCGGAGCGAGAAGAGGGATACTTCCCGAGCGGGTTGTTGGTTTCACAGAGGATGGTAGATTAAGAGACCATATTATGGTAGGGGATGTCCATTTTGAAGAGAATTTTTTTGACTTAATGCGCTAATGTACGACCAATAAAGTAATGTTTTATGTCCGCTTGTAGGTGGCTTTTGGTTATGAATATCCATGTTGATTGCCAGTTTTGTGTCGTCTGATATTGTATGTGCTATAGTCCGGCTGTTATGAATGTGCTTGCTTATATGCTTGTCCTAGAAAATTATTATGTATAATTATGCATATATTAAATTCAGATAAAAAAATTATCTGAAGAATTTTTTTTTTCTTTTTAAGATTCCAGTTCTTCAAACAAACAATGGTCCAAGTCTAACAGGATTGACTACTATAGCAACTCACCTAGTGAAACAAGCAAATAAGGAGTATTTGCTGGGAAGTACTGCAGAAGAAAAAGCAATAGTTCATCAATGGTTAGAATACAGGGTCACTCGAGTAGACGGACACTCCAATAAAGAAGATATCCACACTCTGTTGAAGGTATCATGACGTTTTCATAGGCTGGAATGCAGAAACTAGGAAGCAGAAATCTCTCCCTTTACATTTCGTAGTTATGATTGTAAGCCTTCTTTACCTGTTCCACTCTGCTTCTCTTTCTGCCCCCCTCCTTCAGATCTCAGCTCAGATACCAGTGCCTCAGGAACTTCCTTGACTATACCATGTCAAGCCAGACACAGATCCATGTTCTGTGTGCAGTCACAGTGCCCTGCATCTTCCTTTCTAACACTTGTTGTAATCAGTAATTAGTTTTGTATGGTTGTTTTTTAATGTGATTACTTAATGTCTATTTGCCCCCCTCATCAGTCTTTATTCTCTAAAAGATAAAGTACTTTCTCAGAGGCAAGAGGTATCTGAGGGCTGGCAGAGTGGCTCAGTGGTAGAGTGTCTACCTAGCAACCTGAGGCCCTGAGTTCAAACCCCATTACTGAAATTAAAGGGGGTGAAAAATAGGAATCAGAATTTTTGCAGGTTGTAGTTTGAAAATAATTGTTTTATGGGTCTGAAAAAATCCCACCTTCCTTCGCTTGGGAGGAAGATTTGCAGTTTTTTTTTTTCCCAAAGGCCTAAAATGAGAGTAAACTGTAGATATAAAATATAAATCAAATATGACTCCAGCGATACAAAGAATAAAAAACATACCAAATGAAATTTTATTAATTTATATAACATTAAAGCAGATTTTTAAAATTTTGTACAATCTTAAAATTTGATGGATGATTACAGATACATATAATCACATATCATTGCTTCCTAATTTTATTTCCATTGTTATGTAATTTGCTAATGGCTGTATAAGTTGTACAAGAAAGTTTTTATCACTTTGGGGAAAACAATTTAAACTATGTTCCTGATAGATGCAGTCAAAAGATCTGGACGTAAGTAAATTTCAGGTATTGTTCCTTAAAGGACTATTGTAATCAACCGTATATTCTTAATGTCCACTGATCACTCGGGAAACCCCTGCCATCCTCCGTAGCATTTACAGAGGGAGGCAGGATGTCCTCCCTCAAAGCAAATGTAGAGTTCAAAAAAATACTATTTTTTTTTTTATAGTTTTCCAAAGAAAAGTATAGTAACAAAGCATTTCATTCTGAGAGATATGAAAAGGATTTCATTGAATTGGATTTTTTGTCCAAAACCATACTAGATTTGGTGTTAGAAGCATAGAAGTAACTCCCAGTTTTGTATTTGGGGTGCGTGAATACTTAACTGAGAGACGCTGACTCAGTGTTGCTTTTTGAAGGGTGACAGTGAAGCTGGTGGTTGGGTGCCTTCTTGCTCATCTGCACTGCCGCTCAAGTACCTTCCCCTCCCCCTTAGATGTAGCTCTGTCTTCATAGAAAGACTAGGGAGAGAGACAGATGTACAGAGAGTGGACTGCAGTGTGAGCACAGAAAAGAAGGTTGTTCTTTGTTTCATTTGGCTATTGGGCTATCTCAAGACTGCAGTTTATTTTAAAGGCAGTCATTTATTACAGAAACTTAGAAAATAAAAATATTGAAAGACATTTAGGACATCCATTATCCCACCCTCAAGAGAACTGCTATACAAAAATACTGACTTATTGTTTCAAATCTTTCCTTAAATGCTTCTTAAAATTAAATGAAGATATATTTTATTTCTTATTTATCAAAATTAATTCTTTTGGAGACATTTGGAGGGAAACCATCTGCATTTGTCAGATTACCATAGAATGTAGGTGGTAGCCCCTAATATACCAGTGCTGTACCCATACCTTCAGGCTTTAAATACTTATAAGGCTCCTTTTTTTGGTAGCACTGGAGTTTGAACTCAGGAACTCACACTTGCTAGGCAGGCACTCTTACTGTTTGAGCCACTGCGCCAGCCCCCATACTTTTTTCTTTGCATATGTGTATGTGCATATTTTACTTTAAATTGGGTACCTACTAACATCGTGTTGTGATCATCTTTTATATCAATAATCACTTGCACTCTCCTTTTGATAACCTTTTAATAAGTTCCATCACATATTTAATACCACAGTTTAAATCAATGGACACATTTCCATTTGTTTCCTTAAATTAAATTTCTACAAGAGAAGTTGCTAAGCCAAAAGCCATACTTTTTATTTGTCCCCCAGAAAAGCAAAGCATTTCAGTATAGCAGTGTGTGAGAGTGGCCTCTTGCACAAAATAGCACTGGTATTACTCTGTTCTCTTTATCTACCTCAGCTTCATTGCCAGAACCAGCAAACCAAAAAATGATTTCCTTGTTTACATTTTTTTCATAAAGCTTATTAGCCATTTTTATACTGGACTGTGTATCTTTTATTATTTATTTTTAATACTTTTCTTCTTACGTGCGGGAAGCATGGCACAAATGGGAGAGCACATGCAAGCAAGCGTGAGGCCCTGAATTCAAACCCTAATACTGCAAAAAAAAAGAAAACCAAAAGAACAAAACCCTTTTGTTCTTATGATACTATGAAAGAGCTTAGTTCTTATTCACCAAAGCTGTTTTAGTGCTGAAATCACAATTCAAAGATTAAATAATTCCTGAGGAAGACAGTATATAATTTCAAAAAAGAAGTGGAGGAGGTTTGGACACGACACACTGCCAACACAAATATCTGTTGAATCTACATGGAAGGAGTATAGTTGTTTATTGTACTGCTTTCCCAACTTTCCCACATATATTTAAAAGTTTAGAACTGGATAGTTGGGAAGGAAAAGAAAAATCAGGTGGAACTCTTAAGAGGAAATACTTGAACAGGTTTGGGAACAGCATTAAATAGACTTGTTTAAAAAGGAAATGAATACCAATATTAATTCTGTATGAAACTGTTTTGTAGGAAAAATTGTATTTACATCAGGAAAATATTACTCATAGTTTTTTGTAAAAAGTACTTTTGTAATACTGAACTATATCACCAGCTCGAAAAACTACATTTTCGCCAGTCTTTATCACTAAAACATAGATGTGGATTCTGCTTTTAGAAGAAACACACTATACAAAAATATTGACTTATTGTTTCAGATCTTTCCTTAAATGCTTCTTAAAATTAAGTGAAGATATATTTTACTTCTTATTTATCAAAGTTAATTCTTTTGGAGACATTTGGAGGGAAACCATCTCCATTTGACAGATTACCATAGAATTTAAGTGGTAGGCCCTAATACACCAGTGCTGTATATTTCATCTCCCCCCTCCATATTCACTTTTGATTTTTCCATAGTTGTCTCCTTATTCTGTGGAGTCTTCCTCTGTACTACCCCCCCAAAGTCCATACTTGTATAGCATTTCTAAACTTAATACCTTTGAGTGAAAATATGTGCAGACCTAAAAGATAAATTCAGTTCAGCAATTCTGATTACTGAACTACTATGTGCCAAACACTTTGGGATATTCTATACTATAAATGTTTGGGTCCCCACAAGTTTATGTTACTCCAAAGTAATAGTTTAGAGAAGTGATTAGGTCCCTAAGGGTAGAACGTTCATGAATGGGAATGCTGCCCTTATAAAAAGGTCTAACACCCCTTACCTCTTCTGCCCTGTGAAGACAGCCATTTGTGAACCAGTGTGCACTTGTGAATGTTGGACTTCCCAACTTAGCTTATTGAGCCTAAAATGGCTTATAAAACTTTATAAAACCTTCCTCTAAAGTTTATGTGAATTTGGTGTAAATTCCTGTGTTACTAAATTATGTGTTAATTTTGAGAGCCGCCAAATGTTTTTTTTAATATAATTCTTCCCTTTTTGAGAAATGGATTTGTGCTGGTCTATTAGGCAATACTTCTCATTTAGATTGGGATCTTTTGAAATTTTTATTTTTTAACTTGTGCTTTGTAATTTTTTTCTTCAGAAGTACCTATTGACCAATAAAGAAGCAGTTTTTTTGGTTTTTTTTTTTTGCAGTACTAGAGATTGAACCCAGGGACTCAAGCTTGTGTTAAAAAGCCAATAACCTGATGTAAAAATGGGCAAGTGACTTGAGTAAATGTTTTTCAAACAAGTTTATAAAAACATGCTGAGATTACTAATCAGTAACAAAATGCAAATCAGGCATAATGAGATACACCTCACTCATTAGGATGGCTACTACTAAAACACACACATCCACACAAAAAAATCACAAGGTTGGTTAGGCTATGGAAAAATTATAACCATTGTACACTATTAATGGGAATGTAAAATGATGCAACTGTTAGGCAAACAGGGTGGTACTTCCTCAAGACATTAATAAAGTTACTACATGATCTAGCAGTTCAATGTCTTGGTGTCTGCCCAGAGAATTCAAAGGATGATCTTGAGATATTTAGACACTCGTGTTCTTAACAGCATTATTCAGAACAGCCAAGAGTAGTGACAACCAACCTACGTGTCTCTTGGCAGTAACCAGATAAAGAAAATAGAGTACATGCATACAGTGGCAATAATTCAGCCTCAAAAGTGAACAGAATTGTGACACATGTTGCAACATGGATGAACTTTGACAATATACTAAAACATTAAGTGAAATAAGCCAGTCGAAGAAGTGAAATACTCTGATTCCATTTATATGAGGTATCTAAAATAGAGTAAAATGGTGGCTACTAGGGCCTGGAGAAAAGTAGGTATAGGGAATTATTGTTTAATAGCCACGGAGTTTTAGTTTTGCAGAACGGAAAGGTTCAAGGTTTTTTAAATATACATACGCATATATGGGTATGCGTATGTATGTAATGCAAAAAAGCAATAACTTAGAATTTGCTGAGGAGAGAGAAGTTGTTGTGGAGCCTTTTATATTTTAATGGAAAAAATCTAAATGAGCATGATTTAAACATTTCCAAAAACAAAAAAACTGGATGCTGAAATAATCATAAATAGTACTTTGAGTATCATTTTCTAATGTTTCTCATTTCTTTAAAATGATACTGATAATGTTTATTCTATTTTTTAAATGAGATGATTGGCATACAATTTGATTTTTGAATGAACCTGTCTATTAATGGCAAAAATTAAATTTACTTAATGTATTTTGCTTTCTAATAACCTTCTAAATGCTTTAAATCATATAATACAGTAGTTAGTTTTGTCATTGCTGGTTTTAAAATTTACATTTTATTGTTTTTTCTAGGATCTTAATTCATATCTTGAAGATAAAGTCTACCTTACAGGAAATAACTTTACCTTAGCAGATATCCTATTGTACTATGGGCTTCATCGCTTTATAGTGAGTATTCTAATTGTTTTGCTTTTTTCCTATAGTATTCAGTATGATTTTTAAAAATTTGTCTTGAATTTAAATCAATTTGCATCTCAGCTTATCAAGTAAAAATAAAAGAGCTAATTTTATACAAGGTGCCATAAGTAAAAATTCCTTCCACAGATCTATTGAACAGAGTTCCTGCTTGATTCTTGGACCTTGCTTCTGCTTTTCTTCCACAACTACTACTTACTACTTCTGTAGTCAACATTTGACTTTATCATCTTCCTCCTGCTCCACTTCAGGTCTTAATTCCAGTACTCCATCTTTTTAGCTCTTTTAACCTCTTTGTTCCTATCTGAGGTGATTTGACTACTCTTCTTTTTCCAAACGTGCATACTTTGTTCTCCATCTAATCTAGACCCTGCTAACTCAGCTCCTTTGCTCTGCTGTGCAGTTGCCACCCTTTCCCTGTAAACCCTACCTCTTGGCCAGTCCAGATAAATACCTTCATTTCTATATCCACACTGAGTTCTGCTGCAAAAATCACAAAACTACAGACTGATCACAAAACTCCAGTGGAAAGTTTTACTGTCTAATTGTAGCTGGGCTCCTATGCCCATCAGTTCTCTCCTTCCTCCCAGATGTACTTCCAGACTTCCAGCTCATCCCTCTTCCTCCCCCTTTGTCTTTAGTCATTACCATAGATCTTCCTTCACTAGAAAATGGAGACTGTTTGAATCCCCTCATCTTCTAGCCTTCCTGCTTGCGTATCCTGATCTACCTTGTCTCCTTTTTCTGGTTTGAAAAATGATGCTCTCACTTTTTTTTTTTTTTTCCAGACTGATATTTTTGGCCTCTTACCTCAGCTCTCCCTTCATCTCCTGCCCCCTTTCTGAATCTTATCCCAAATTCAACTTTCTTTCTTATACCTTCAATTTTGCCCTAACCTACCTGGTGAGTCTCTTTCTTTTAAATTATTTATACAGTTAAATGCTACTCACTGTGGTCTTGGCCCTGTTCTTTATGCTATGTAAGTGTTAATTTGTTTAATTTTATAACAGCCCTCTGAGAGTGGACACTATTATTATCAGCTGATGTTACAGATAAAGCAACTGAGTCGTAGGAATGTTAAATATTTTTTTCGAGATCACGCAAGTAATTGGCAGACCCAGGTCTACAATCTAAGAAATTTGTCTTGAATTTGTGCTTAACATCTTTCTGTCCACCTAAAAAATTCTCTCAACTCCCCATCACCCACCTTCCACCTCCCGACTCACATTTTTCTATATTCTGCACCTCATGCACATAGTCCTCCTGGTGCTGATGTCTCCTCTTCTTGGACACCTCTCACGTGTCTCTTCCTTCATGGGATTCTACATGATATTGTCGTGGTCCAGAGTTCATAATCTTTTGTCTGGATATCTTTACCCCTGTCATCTATATAGAAGATCTAAGTAAGATGAACTACAAGAGATGAGACTGCTGGCCACTGGTCCAGTATGTCTTATGGCCATGTTTTGTCCTTCTCAAAATAATGAAATAGCTCCTCACTCCCTCTGGTGTAAAATTTGACAGCATGGAAAGCCTTTCTTCTGACTCCTGCCTCCCTCACTAGCCTCATTCCTGTCTTCTCTCTGAGCCATACTCCCTGAAGTCTGCTGACCACTGGGCTTCTCCTGCCCAGCATCCTTGCATTGCTGTTCTCTTTTGTATCCTGGTGCTAAGCCTTGACTTTTTCCTTGATTGAAGCCCTTCAGGCTCCTAAAGCATACTGAAGTGCTCTTTGCCCTGTTTCTGTATCTCATAGATGGTCTTGGTTCTAGATTGTAGTGTGTTTCACTATAATTCCTCTTTGAAAATCTTGCTTCTTATTAGCTGTCTGACTCAACATTGTAACAATTCACATTTGTAACACCACCATCTAACATAATTCCTGACACATGTTACATAAACATTGAATCAATTTAACATATGTCTACATACTTTTCAGTGAATTTTTTGCATGTTTTTTCATTGTACCTCATATCTGTGAAGGAAATAGGATTAGTTTCATTATTAGTCTGTAGGAAAGTCAAGTGATTTATGCAAAGGCACAGAGCTCAGTTTTTATAAGGGCCAAGACAAACCAGCTCTTCTAACTCAAGTGTCTTAGTGTAGGAAAGCCCTTTGTAAACTGTAGGGTACATAATGTAAGATGTGGGGACATTCTGCCTATTGCATCTGTAGATTGAAAAGACTGTTTCTGTTCTGATCATGTACAGGCTTTCCCTGTCATTATTCCCTAAACAATACAGTAAAGTAACTATTTACTTAGCACTTAACATTGTATTAGGTATTATAATTCATGTAGAGATAACTTAAGGTACACAGGAGGAGATGCACATAGGTTCTATGTAGATACTGCATCATTTTATATAAGGGTCTTGCGATCTGTAGACCTTGGTATCTGTGGGGGGCTAGTGGGTGTCCTGGAACCAGTCTCTCAAATAGACTTGTATTAAGTTCTCTAACATTATTCTTGTATGGCCTAGTTTGATCCTTAACTTAGCATAAAACTCCCTATTAGTGTAATTTTTAAATTATTTGTCAGCCTGCTATATGTGACCGCTCTGTACTTGAGAGGGACATTTAAAAAGTGTAAAACTATTTTCAAGGAAGTGTTAATCTCACTCAGAAGAAATTCAACTGTTTTACATGAAAGTGACAAATTAGAGAAAATGGAATCTAGTACCAATTTCTGGTCAAAATATAATTTGATCGGTTAAATAAGTAAAGTAGGATGAAGAATCATGAAAAATATCTGCAGAATTTTTCATTGTTTAGAAAGGTTATAAGTTTAACTGTGAATAGTTGCTTATAAGTAGAATGACCATATGATTTCTCATCCAAAACAACACTTTTGGCTATGAAAGGTGGCCTATTAATCACTATGCTAGAACAACAGGAGTGGCATAGGATGAATATTCCCTGTACTTAAAAGGGAATTTGACTCAATTTTAAACAAAGTGAGACCAATGAGGATATGTTGAATTTCTTGTGCCATTCCTGGCTCTCAGCACAGTGGTTTGTACAGCTACATGCTTGTTGAGATCATATTTAGTATTCTGAACCTATTTACAGTTCCAATTTTTGTTGTATATATAGTAAAAATGTAATCTTTAATTATGTTCTTCAGTTAATTACAGTAATTATATTTAAATATGGAGCTGAAATACATTGATCACACCAGCCTCTCTTTATTCCATTCTAGGTTCAATATATTTTAGTAGCTTTTTGAATTTAGAATGATGACGTGGCACAACTTACCTCATTTCAAAACGAAAAAAAGCCTCCAAGGTAAAGAGGATTTGCTGTTAAGGTATCTGAGCATCTCTCTCCTGGTGGCAAACCTATAGTCTTTCAGCTTGGGAGTCCATGCTTGACTTGAGCAAGACTATGCTGGAATGATTATGGCTACTTTGCAGGGGGAACAGGAGCAATTTATATCTGAAACAACAACAAAGCCATTGGCTTTGAAAAACACATATTTAACAGTGGCACATGTTTTTGTATTATCCAACTTTCTAATTAATACTAGAAATGTGCGGTGACTCCAGCGGGCTAGTGAGGTCTGCTTCCTATAGCCTCAAACAGTCATTAAGGAGAGCATTTCTCCCATCTAATTAAAAAAAAGTGATAATGAAGTACACATCTTGTAAACCAAGTGCATATTTATGTTTTCTTCTATACTGGCATAAACAGGTTGTGCTGTAGGGGAAGGAGAAGCAGGGAGCTTGTGTGACATTTGTTTGCTAGCAGAGTGAACCCTGTCGTAATTCCATGATGCAGAATATTTTAGCCCCAGCTGCAAAGTTAATTGTGAGTCTAGGTGCCTTGGAGGGCTTTGGTTTTCAGGCAAAAATGTTTCCTTCAGTTCTGCATGTTAGAGTTATGGCTACCTTAATAATATTTAAATATCTGTACCTATTTGTATTTCCTGTTTTGAAATGTATATCCTCTTTATATGTAGTGAGTAGGATATTAAGATTAAAGATGTTACATTTATCTTTTTCAAAACTGTTGGTAGAATAATATGTAAATCACCTGTTAACCATTACTTTGGGTTGATAACGTGAGTCAAAGCATCTCTCCCACCCTAGGCAAAGTAATCAAAGATGTGAAGACTTTCTTAAGGAACAGGCCTTATAGGCTAAAACCTACACAATGTGATATTATATGACATCCCTATTAAGTTGGTTGTAAATATACACAGGTGTAAAATGATTGCTAAGTATTAAATTCAGGTAGGAAGAAGCAGAGTCCAGGTTGGCTACCTGTCCATATTCTCAGGCTAAGAATATGTTTGCTTTGGCAATGTATTTATTTTTGCCATGGTGCCTTCCTTCACTTACTTTTTTTTTGTGTTGTGAAATGCTTAATATGTAATCTGCACAAAACAGCAGTCAGGGAATCTTTAAGGCATCAGATAGTCCCACTGTACTTTGTTCCATTATGAGCCCAGTGTTAGTTGTAGCTGAGACACTTTAAGATCTGGTCGGTCTTAATCCCTTTGATATAGTGTGGGTTAGTGTGACTGTTGGTTATAAAGCCAATGACTCACTGCTTTTTCCGGTGATTTCACCAGTATCAGTCTCGTGAATAGGCTGTGAATCACTCAAGATTATTAAAAGCTTTGAAATGCTGGGTGCTACTGGATTATAAGATTGTTACCAGCTGAAATTTGTTTGTTCTGAAGTTTGGGGCACCAGTAGTAGAATATGTGTTTGTTTCAGAATAAAAGTAAAAGAAATGGCTACAAAACAGTCCAAGAACCCTGGCCATAAGGAATGTCCCAAAGGTTGCCTGGTGCCAATTGGAAGGGTAGCAAACCAGCATAGCACACTGATCTGAAAGGGGTTCCTTGAAGTGTTTTTCACATGTCTTTGTGGAAAATTAGCAATTCAGAATAGTACATGTTTGGCTTTAAGGTTCAAAGTAATTATAGAGTGCCAATATAAACAAAAAGAGTGATTAGGAAGAAAAAGCCAGGCACCACTAGAGACACACTATAGACCAATAAAAAGCAGGAAATAGTAAGTAGAACAATTGCATTGTGTTTCCTGTTTTAAGAAAGGGGAAAAATACATGGCCAGCTAGAATGGGATGGTGGGAAACCAGTGTTAAAAGTGAAATGGAACATTTTTACAACAAAAATGTTCTAAAAAATGGTAAATTTGATGAGGGGAAATTCTGTTGCTTACTTTGTTTATAGTAATTTCATATGTAAAATGTATACCAAAAAGCAGAGGCAGCCTAAAAAGGTCAGTCATAATTTTCTCATACTCAAAGGAAAAATTTCCAAAGTGTAAGCTATAAAAGAAGGTTGAAAGTGGTATACCCTGATCCTTTCAGAAAACCTATTTTTGTAGCAAAGCCTTCTAATGGAAAATGAATTGTTTGCATTTTCTAAAGTAAATCAACTGAAAATATTGTATAATATTTCGTGAATCTAAAAATTGCTACAATAAACTTCAAAATGTTAGGAAGTTCAGAAGCTCTTGGAATAAAAATTATAGTCCTTACCTAGTAGAGGCTCCAAATGTGAAATTTTTAACTTTCAAAGTATTTATTTTGCTGTTTGTTATTTAAATAACAGACCTGGTAGAAACTTAGGCGAATCCTTTTACCAAATGCTCTGATGAAATATAAATACTACATGTACATTGTCTTTTTCACGTTTCAAAATATGAATGCACAACTTGAACATAGTTCAAATAATAATTAGTATCTTACTGTTTGGAAATACTGTATTCTTTGTTTATTGTAGTTCATTCTGAAAATAATATCCCACCAAAATTAGAGACTTTGTTAAATAAAAGAGCTCTGAAATTCTAAGGGAAAAATCCTCAAGTTTGAGTATTTATCTGTCTGTGTATTTTTCAGTTCTGGCCTTGCACATACCAGGAAAGCACTCTACCACTGAGTGAGCTATACCTCCCACCCTCAAGCTTTTTTGTTTTCAGTGGTAGAGCTCAGAGGTAGAGCACTTGCCTAGTATATACACAAGGCCCTGGGTTCCATCCACAACATCAAAAGGAAGAACAATCTGACATTTTCAGTTGAAGTTCTTGGTGAAATTTACATATGGTAAATAGCTTTCAAACAAACAAAAAAATACTTTCTAAAATATTTTGGAATGCACACTCATAGTTTCTTCCACAGTGAATGCTTATGTGCCTCCTCTGTAAATGCACCAGATATCTTGAGTTTAACAATTAGGAATATTTGAACCATGAATTCCCTTTTAATAAAACTTAGCTTATACACTTTAAAAAAACTCTTGCCTTGGCTACTGTTAGGTTTTTTTATCTCTATATCATGGACTCGCTACTGCATTATACATTATACATAAAACAGTTACAGTAGCATCTTTTTATAGACCTGATCTTATACTCCTTCAAACAAGGTAAATTTTCAGGGGTGGGGGAGGGGTTGCAGATTTTTTTGTTGTTGTTGTTTTGTTTTGTTTTGTTTTGGCAATACTGGAGTTTGAAGTCTGGGCCTCACACTTGCTAGGCTGGCACTCTACACTTGAGTCATACCCAAACCATCCCCCCCACCCGACCCCCTTTTTTTTCTTTGCTTTAGCTGGTTATTGGAAAGGGTCTTGCATTTTTGCCAGGACCACCTTCAGCTGTGATCCTCCTCCCTGTGGCCTGCTGTGTAGCTTGCATAGCAGTAGGGCACCTTCACGCCCAGTTTGTTGGCTGAGATGGATCTTGATAACTTTTTGCCTGGGCCAGCCTCAAACCTGCGCGCTTTCCCATCTACACCTCTCGAGTAGCTGGGATGATTGTATTTTATAATTTTCTATAGTATCTTGTGTATAGGATTTTAGTGGATATCACTAAAACCTGAAAATTACATTTTTATTTAACAGAAACAGATTCTTACTGCTAACAATTTCAGTAAACTGAGCCAACAAGTTAAATATTTGTTGAGAAAGTAGTATCTACCTTTTAATTGTAATATTACTTTATATTCTGTAATAATTATTGCCTACAAAAGTGATTTTCCTGCATTTTGTTGGTCCTAGAACTCAGAATATTTGCCTGCAGGCATAGTGTATGGGATATTCTGAAAAGCCACAGGACACCCATCTCATTACACGTGCCTCCAACCTAAAGGAGCACTGATGAGTTTGAACCATTCGTGGGGGTGACTGAATTTTGGAGGTTTTTTCTTTCTCTTTTCTTTTTGTTCTGGAAACTTGCAATATCTTTTTAGTAAAGGCTGAATAAACAACAGGAAAAGGAACCCATATATGGGATCATAGCTGCCAGTTACTGCCCTGTGAGCTTTCTCTTTACCTGATAACAATAATTCTAAAATTTGATTGAGTCACCTACTTTGGAATTTGAACCCAATGAAATGATAGGCACCTGCAGTTCTCATTGCATCTCTCTCTAATCAAGTCTCTGAACATTCTTGTGGCTTTACAGTAAATGGTATGAATCACCGCTACATCCATTAAAAATAGAGTTCAGCTTTATTGCAGATGGAATATAGAAGGTATATTGATCTTCTGTTGTTACTCATCTGAGTCATGTGCCACTAGAAAGAGCCCTTCCTTGTATTAAGCAATAATCACTTGAAATTAAATAGGTCATTGTCTTCTTGAGTGAGGTTTTCCTTCAAAATAGAATAGAAAGGCAGCAGTAGTCTATATATACCAGCCATTTAGGTGTGTATATGTGTTTGTATATTTTTTTCCTTTGACATGATGTTCCCTGATGAAGTATGTTATATGCTAATAAACCATTCCCTTCTCACGTTTATTGAAAAATAAAAAGAGCCATATCTTATTCTTTTGGAAGCTATTTGCTTCGTTTTTAATAAAGTAAAAAAATTCTTTAGGCCTCCACATCCTGGTTTGATATAAATTTTGCATTTCCCTAGAAAGCAAATCTGGTTTTGGACAGGACATAAAAGCATTAAACAAATGGATAGCTTTTCCAAGTGGCTGAAACTTTTACTTCTATCTAAACAATGCTAGATCTTGAGAACTGTTGGAATTTGGTTTTTGTTCTTTTTAATTTCTATCAAATATCTCCTGGTATTGATAGTTGTGCTTATTTAATGTTTGTGTGTGTGTTTTTAATCTCTACTTAGGTTGACCTGACAGTTCAAGAAAAGGAGAAATATCTTAATGTGTCTCGCTGGTTTTGTCACATTCAGCATTACCCAGGCATCAGGCAACATCTGTCTAGTGTTGTCTTCATCAAGAACAGACTATATACTAACTCGCACTAGAAGTTACCCATGTTGTGCCGAAGTGTGATTAAAAATGTTTTGAAAGCGTATTCTGGACCTCAGTAGTAACGTATATTGATACAGTCATATTTCATTTGTTAAAGTAGGTAGAATTTTAAAGTATAAACTGGTGTCTGAGTGTTTTTATTATTTGTTCTTTCGTTGAAGTTTTGCAATTTTTATGTAAAAATGCAACTGCTGTCAAAAAAATTGAAATCAAGTTATAAATTACCTTCTTTTATAGATGAAATTTATTTTAATACAAGTTGCAAATCAGTGGCTTAATCTTAAAAATAGGTATCCTTACAGTGGTTGACATAATTGGCTATTTATTAATCTCTCTTTCATATTTTAAAATTCATTTTCCTCATGGATATTTAAAATAGTTTGTTTATTAAAACCTATGATAACTTATGCCAAGGATATAGAAAGGGAAGACAAATATATTTGTTTTCAAGTGTTTATGTGAACTAGTAAATGTAATTGAAAAAAAAATTTTTTTGTTTGTTTCTTTATTCATTGGGGTGAAACTAAACCTGCCCTAGAGGGAACTGGAATATTTGTTCCTCTTGAGTCAATGATTCTTCCCTGTTACTGGGCTTATTGAAATATGCAGTGGCTAAAAGATACTGGAACTTCATGCTGTCCTACTAATTTGAGTCTTAAAATTACTAGAATTTTCTAAACTCAAAGCAAGCTATCTTAGAAAGGTTGCTCATTGCAGCACTATGTGAAGAACAAAAATACTTTATTAGTAGATATGTACATCTTATACCTCTTACTGGCTAAATAAATAAGTAATCAGTTAAAGAGCTTATCTTTCCAAATAATGACAAAAGTAGAGGGGAAACAAAAGAAAAAAGTAGATCTGGGTGTGGTAGTGCACACCTTTAATCCCATCTGCCTAGGAGGTTGAAGCAGGATTGCAAGGCAAGGCCAGTGTGTGCTATATATAGAGGCCCTATGTAAAAGGGCTAAGAATATAACTCAGTGGCAGAGCTACCCTTGCATAGCCAGCCCTCAGAACAATGCCTGACACCTGACACTCCACAATAGGTGTCCAGAACATATTTGCTGAAAGATTGTACTATTCTAGGTCCATTTTTTTAGCTGACCATGAAAAGTGTTAAGTGTAAATTACAATTGAGTGTAGCAGAAACATCAAACAACACCAGAGTAGTTTGTTTTTATCTCTTGTGAAAGAAAGTGGTTGGTAGATGGTCCATGTTTGGCATGAAGAGACCAGCTCCTTACTCTCCTCCATACTGAATAATAGTTGCCATTCTCAAGTTCAACTTATGATCCAATATGGATGTCAACCCCAGGCATCAATTCTGATTAAGACCCAAAGAAGGAAGAAAGGAGGGCAAAGGCTCTTCTGCCAATAGTTTCTGCAGGACCTGTCTGTTAGACTGAAAAGTACAGAGAGATAGACAAGAAGTTGGCTCACCACCAGCACAAGTTTATTCAAGAGAAGAAACTTGCAGAGGGGGTCTACAGCAAAAGAGCTAGAACCCATTGCCACTTATGGACTGGAGGGGTTTATAGGAAAGGAAGGACCCGGTAAAGGATGCAGGGAATTCTTCCATTGCAATTTGTCCATCATCCATTGCTAGGGGTAGTCAAGGAACTGGGCCTTGTGTACAGGTGCTGGGAACCAGGGCATTTCAGTCATGGACCAATGGCAAGGAAATGAGCTGCTGGGGATAGTCAAGGAGCTGGTCTTGTGTTCTGGCACAGGTGCTGGGTAACATCTTCCTTGGAGGGCCTGTCTCTAGGGGAGCCAAACAACTCTAGGGTCAAGCAGAGTTTTAAGATGGCCTAGTGATGTCAAGGTGAGACCTAACACTGTCCTGAAAGCCCTCCTCACCCATATTTGTCTACAGCTCTGGCCACCCCATTGGGAGGGAGGCCAGAAATGTAGCTCTTCAGCAGGGACATTGCCCCCACCCCCAAATAAATGCTGTACTCTCAGTGAGGAAGAAAGAAAAAAAAAGAACACTAGGTAGGCAACTAGCTGCCTGTCACAATTAGTGACAATCAGAAAATACCTTCTGATGCCAAATGGTCAATTTTAAAAGAATTTTTGTAGGTGGTTAATATTCCATGGATCCCTGGTTGGCAAACAATTGGGATATAAGAAAATAGCTTCAATGACCACCATATAAGATCCTGTCATATGCAGGGTTACCATTATGAGGATCTGTTAATGTCCTGTTGGTAATGATAGCTGACATTTACTGAGCATTTACTATGTGTTGGGCATTACTATAAGGACTTTAAGTGAATTCATCATTAGCCCCTTTTTGCAGGTAAGGACCCTGAGGCACAGAGAGCTCAGGAGACTAGCCCAAGATCACATGACTGATAATCAAAGCACTGGGATTCAAACGCAAGAGTCAAACTTACCCATAATGCAACTTACAGGTGTACCAGTGAAATTCTGCTTGAGCAACTCGTGAAATAATTTTCTACTAACCTTAGAAAACAGCTATCCTAAGCTGTCTTAGCCAGCTTTTTGTTGCTATGACAAAATACCTGAGAAAATCAACTTAAAGGAGGAAAGATTTATTTTGGCTCACAGCTCCAGAGGTTTCAGTACTTACACTCATGGTCACTTAGCTCCTTTGTTTCTCAGCCTGTGGTGAGGAAAACATGATGGGAAAGAGGATGGTGGAGCAAAGCCGCTCACCTCTCTGAGATCAGAAGCAGAGAGGGTAAAGGGCTAGGACAAAATACAGTCCTCAAGGATATGTCCCCAAGGAGTCACTCCATCAACTAGTTTCCACCTCCTAAATTACCATCACTTCCCAATAGCGCATCAAATATGAACTGGATAGGTTCATAGGTTCATCTATTGATGAAGCCAGAGTTCTCATGATCCATTCACTTCCCAAAACCCAACCTCTGAACTTTAACACATGCGTCTTTTAGAGATATTTCAGATTCAAACCATCACAGTACTGGGTAATCGAATAAATGGGTTCATACTTCAAGAATAAAGGAAGTGGCTGCACAACTGAATATACTAAAAGTCTCTCTGACTTGTGCACTTTTTTGTGTGTTTTGGCAGTACTGGAGATTTTACTCAGGGCCTCAAGTTAGGCAGGTGCTATACCACTTGATTCATGCCCCCACCTTTTTTGTGTTTACTTTGTTTTTCAGATAAGGTCTTGGGCTTTTGCCTGAGCAGCCTTGGCCCCAATCCTCCTACTTCTGCCTCTTGAGTAGCTGGAATTAACAAGCATGGGCCACTATGCTTTGCCTGCATTTTAAGTACTTGCACTACAAGAATTATAGGTTAATAGAGTAGCTTGAAAATAAAGGAGCAAAATCAAACAGCACTGTAACCAGGTATTAATTAAAAGACATTGGATAAGTCTCTGCCCATGAAGTTCCTCTCATCTTATTTCATTTGCAATGAGAATCATAAAAATTATCTCGCATGATGCCTAGTGAAAGTGATTGGTGAAGGACAACTGTTATGGAAGATTGTAAAAGTCATAACCTACAATTTTTTTAAAGCCAGACCCTTAAGTCTTCATCAACCTGCTCAGCATGAGCCCATCTGAGACCAGACAAATGGTGGCAGAGCATCCATTTTGATAAAACATGAATTCATATTACTTACCACTTTAAAAATCTGGTCCTCATGTCTTTCACAAGCTGTTGGTAAAAAAAAAAAAAGCCATAGTATTTTTCTTAATTTGTTTTTAAAACATCAGTGAGAGACATCTGAAAGACAGCGGGGCCATCTGTGTGCCTGCTATTCCTTCTAAGAAGAGGTGCTCTTTCCAACTATTTGCTTTCTGTAATTCCCAGAAGCCCATCAGTGATCCCCTCAACTGTATTTAGCACTATTATGTACCAGCCTTGCTGCTAGACTCTGGGGATTACACAGTCACATCCTTCCCCTAATACAGTTTACAATCTAAGCATGTAGATTGAAATTCCTGAGGTAGGGCACATAAAGCATTCTTTAAAAGTAAATAAAAAGAATTGCATATCATTACTCTGTCTGCTATGCTCTGGGCTCTGTAATGAGTACTTTACAACATTAACTTTGTCCTGTTAATTTAGGAACTACAGAGGGCAGACACTCACCTATAAGCTAATCAACAACTCAATCAGACCATAGCTGGAATGAATGGGAACTGTTTGACTTCAGGATTGGAAGACAATCTGTCACCATATTGTTTACTGGAGTTGATGTGACTGCCCTAATTAGTTACATGTCCCTATCCACATACAAATTTCAGGATCAAAATTCCAAATAGGAACAGGGCATGGTGGTGCATGTCTATAATTCCAGCACTCAGGAGGCAGAGGCAGGTGGACCATGAGCTGTATATCTATACTCTGTCTCAAAAACAAACAAAAATTCAAATAAGGAAGGATCATTCTTCAGCCAAGGATCTGTGAATTTACTCATTAATTAGAATAAATACTAGCTTTTGCCAGGTGCTAGTGGCCCATATCCATAATCCTAGCTACTCAGGAGGTAGAGATCAGGAGGATCACAGTTCAAAGCCAGTCCAAGCAAATAGTGCTGGAGACCCTATCTTGAAAATATCCAAATACAAAACAGGACTGGCTCCAGTGGTAAGAGTGCATGCCTAGCAAGGGTGATGCCCTGAGTTTAAACCCCAGTACCACCAAAAAAATAATTAAAACTAGCTTTAAGACAAATAGAAGTAGAAAAGGCCATTTGTCCATAGTCATTTTCATATCCAGAACATCACAATCATTCATCCACGATCTGACTTCCCAGTTAAATACCACATCCCCATCCAGTTCAACAAAAGATTATTTCACAAAAGTTTTGACCAGATTTAGTAATCCACCCCCAGCTTATGCTTATGGAGATACACCTTTAAGACCCCCCAATTAATGAAGCCACAGATAGTACCAACACCAATATATACTATGATTTTTGCTATACATACATACATGTGATAAAGTTTAATTATAAGTTATGCACAGTAAAAGATTAACAGCAGCCATAACAAAATCAGAACAATTATAATAATATACTTAATACCAGAACAGTTCATCTGGTTACCAAGACAGCTACTAAATCAGTAATGGGCAGGCAGGCATATATAGCATAGACATCCAGGGCAGGGTTTCATCAGAACCACACACAATTTACATGAATTATTTATTTTTTAGCATTTTCTTTTTTTTTTCATTTTTCTTTTATTATTTATATGTGCATACAAGGCTTGGTTCATTTCTCCCCCCTGCCCCCACCCCCTCCCTTACCACCCACTCCACCCCCTCCCGCTCCCCCCCCTCAATACCCAGCAGAAACTATTTTGCCCTTATCTCTAATTTTGTTGTAGAGAGAGTATAAGCAATAATAGGAAGGAACAAGGGGTTTTGCTGGTTGAGATAAGGATAGCTATACAGACATTGACTCACATTGATTTCCTGTGCGTGGGTGTTACCTTCTAGGTTAATTCTTTTTGATCTAACCTT